TATCCCTGTCTTTCTCGATTCGATTCGCCAAGTGTACTATTATTATGTCCTTCATGTAGAACGACCTGTATTACTATTATTAACGCATCCGAAGTCTCGGTTTCATTGCTTTATTCCGAGTATGTATTTTCTTTTTGCCACAGCTGTTGCACAGTCAGTGCAACGTTCGCCTCGGTGCGAATTCATTTTCTTTCTCTTTTTTTTTTTTCATGTTTAGGGATTCAATTTTGAGGCGAATTTTGTGCGGGGTATGACGATGTTGCGCATACTGTGCTTGCGGACACCTCAACGTGCGGCGCCGTCTCGGCAAGGTAGTCAAATACTACGAACAGGGCACTGTTTACCTATAATGCAGCTATAATACCGTAGCCCGTGTCTTATCACGATGAGACATGCATGCATCTACACATGCAAAGCCCATCAGACGATTAGCCGATGGCAATGGCGGCGCGCCGGCGAGCCCGCGTATACCGAAATTACACACGGCGTAGGGCTGGCTAACTAAACGACCGGTTCCCCCAGCAACTAGGCTACCCGATATTTGGCGATGACGATGGATCCTAGAGAACCGGCTGGTTGTTGGGCTGGACGTTCGACTAACGCAGTCTTCGGCTGTACTGGAAATAGAGTTTAGGGAGCCCCGCCGGGCGAGCATCTTAAGAGTTGAATGTATGAAACGGTGAATTAATGCTGTCTTTTTATGGTGTGGTTGAGTGGGGTGTGGGCCACGAGGTCTAATATCCGGGATATTTTGCCGGGAGGGTGTTGACATTTATGGATGCGCTTGATCTTTTTTGGGGGACGATGGAAAGTTCTTCTCATTGTGATGCCGTTGTTTTACCAGCACGTCGTCTCTACTTAGTAGTAGGGGTCCTTTTGAAAATTTCCCTTGTATCGTGGGTTCCGAGTGTGACAGGGCTTTCCCGGAAACAGTCACCATCATCTATGAAATACGATTACCGGTTTTGTAGCGAACAGTGTATCTCAGAAGATGGTTACCGGTTGTTACCAATACATGCTTTAATTAGATCATCCCCACCACAATCTTTCCTACTAAATTTCTATATTAACAAGCACTAACTACAGAAGATGAAGCGAATCACGTCAATTCAAGACCCTTGAATTAGAGAAGTCGAGGGTATTATAGATCTCCTAAAAGAGCTAGTCCATAAGTGTGTAAAGACTCCATGGGTGCACTTAACCTAGTATCATCGCACTTCACTCCGTGGCTATTGCCTTAAATACTTTAATGTCTCAGAGGCAACAGAATTTATTCTGTTACGTGAACGCTGATAAATGCGTTCTGGCCAACCAGCTTTCCCGCTGCTATTACAAGAACACATAAGTTCTACCAACCCTGTAGCGAGGTCTAGGCGTAACGCTCGACTCTTAACTGCTACTTCTATATTCACGTCAGCTGACAAACGTCAATAGTTGTGTGCTTCGATCCTTTTTCTTCAACACAATTTTATTCTGCGACGCCTTAGTTATCTCTTCATTCTCCAATTTCTCGTAGTAATCCGTGTATGGTTCAGTTCATCTCCTGTTCTATTTCCATTCCTTTTCCTAGCTGAACACTGGCTCTCAGAAGCCATATTCTTAGATTTATTCAGAGATAGAGAGTTTAGGAGACATTCTTATTGTCAAACTTTTTCAGCTCAACATATCCGATGAAGACATAGCTAACGGAGTTGAAAGCTTTCCAGCATTCAGTTAATTCAGATTTGCTGCTAATGTGTTTAAGTTGATACTATTGGTAGAGGCGCATTGAGAAAGTCTAGAAAGAGGGCTGTGCGCTGAGTTATGCAAATCTACGCCCCACGGCGGCTTTCATGCGAAGACGAGGACAGGATAGGAGGCCTTAACCAGCGCTTATGAACCTTGGCATCAATTATAGGTGCGTAAAATGCAGTAATAAGCAACTCGATTACTCATATACTTGTCTTTGCATAAGTCTTAAGCTATCTGAATATCCATTCCAGATTACTTGAATGCTTTTTCCACGACGGCACAGTCACGAACTTAATGAACTCTACTAATTGGTTCATGTTTCCGCCCCCATACACGACAGCAAAGGCGCGCCTCGCCAAGAAGTATCTATTGCCCTGCGGCTGAAACATAGCCAATTGCCCAATAGGCTTGACAGCAAGAATATAGACTTTTCGGATTCGGGACGGCTGAGACGTTCTGTGTGATAAGGATCTTAGGATACAAGGCTAATTTCCAACTTTCTCCTAGATCTCTCAGCTCATTTCTATTACAACCCCAATATCCTTTTATGGGATATCTTTGCAAGAGCTCTATCATTTTGTGTATCTCCGAACATACTTCGAATCGCAATGGCAGTACCGCTCACAACAACGTTCGTTCCTCCGCCGGAGTGCACACAAGATATTCGGCGCCAATCGGGCAATGAAACAGAGTCCTACCTTTTACTCGGAGGAAAGGCGACCAATACCTGCCTGCCCTCGTTCTTCACACCAACTTTCACGTTCTTTTACTCCCCGGGACTATACTGCCCCAGCGGATACCTCGATAATGGCTACACAAAAACCTTGGCCTCGGTTACGGAGACTATCGTGACCTGTTGTCCCTCGTCAGTTCTCTCCCTTGCATTTCCGGCGATTGTCGATTTGTCCCCCGCGGCGCGCAAACACTAACTACCAGCGCGCTCTAGAGGATATACCACTATAGACACTACAGCTTTGGAAAATGCATGGGAAAGTACGCTAGGATGCAGATCCTTAATAGTGCCCGGCGACACATTGACATGGATTGATGAGGAAGACACAACTCTTACATGGACAGCATCAACAACAGAACCAATACACGCATACAGCGTTCAAATTCGATTCCAGGCTTCAGACCTTGTAAGTTCTCTGTCTGCAATATACGTAACGTGACTAATTTCACGCATTAAGATAACTACAACGTCCTCTACAACACTCCCGTCGGCAACTCCTTCCACGAGCAGATCAACTGGTTCTATCCAAACTGGCGAAGTCTCAATAAATAACAACGACAACAATAACAGCGGCGGCGGCCTCTCCACCGGCGCCAAAGCAGGAATCGGAGTGGGCGCAGCCATCGGCGTATTACTCGTCGCAGCTATAATATTCCTCGCTCTTACCATCCGCAAGAAGTCGCGCCCTAGCGTCCCACTCAGCAACTACCACGCTGCCGACTTCCCGGAATGGGCATTACCAGCAGAGCAGAAAGCGCCTATAATGCAGCACCAGGATCCCAATCTGCATTCGTCGCAGTATCTAGGGCATGGGATGGCAGGTGGGAATTACGCACGTCCGGACTCAATGGCGATACATGAGTTGCAAAATGGATACGGCCCGGTGCCGCCAACGGAGCTGTCGGCGAACAGGTAACCTGGGTGATGCGTTGAGTTGTAATGCTTTCATGAATACCCCGGCGGGCTGATTGACTGGATTATAAAGAGGTTGTGGCGAGGCGCTGAAGCAAGGGAACTGCATGTCAAGAGGAGTATTGAAGATTTGAAAATTCCGAACAAATATTCCTGCGGACAGCTTTGGAGATATCTCAGTATAAATATTCGGTGCTTGAGAGACCGAGTCCGGCAAACCCCCAACCCCCCCCCGGTTTCATGATTGCAATGGCTGTAGTTGTTAAAGCCTGCGTTCGCATGTAGAAGAGTACCTTCGGTGCTTAAAAGCAGACTAGTTACTATTTAATCGAAGGCGCTGAAGTTAGTATATCTAGCGCATTTCTTGTTCATCCAATAGACTTAGAAAATATCTTTAAGTTGTGTGATTCGTCCTAAGCAGTTACCTGGATTGATAACATCTTTGTATGATCATAATGTTATATATGGTGGGAGTACGCAATCCTTGTTATGACGTTGATGAGATACTTCAAGTTTCTTACTCAAAATTGTTGTTTATTTCTTAAGGATTACTTTGATAATAATATTGAAACAAGCACCCTACATAGAGCAAATAATTCGGGAGTGGGGGTGATTTCTACACCATACGTACAAGTACACTAATCAGTAGCCTTCTATGTTCACTGGTCCATTCAATCCAGTGGTTTAGCTAGGGTTTATTGATAATGCTATAAGTTATAGTTTAAGTCGATGAAGTAGAGGAATTAATACTGCCTTGTCTCAATATAGATCTGAAACACAATACCATAGCAGCTACCGACCTTCACGATAAGGTATACTGTCGCAATCTGCTTCGACGAGAGTTGTGCTGTCGTATGCCGTGTACCATAGCATTGACTAGAAAACGGATATTTGTATGGCCGAAGAAATCGCGACAGCGATTCTAGCAATTGCAACTTTGCCATATCGAAGGGCAAAATCTTGTAGTATTGTAGCCTCTCTTTTGGCTAGTTTATATCGTGGAATATATTTTTACTACTTTTAGCTTCAAAGAAGAAGTACCAAAAGCTTGAGCGAATACTTACAGCGCAAAGGACTGAATGGATGTGTGATGTACGGAGGTAGAGCTTCACCTATTTACGAAGGATGACAATATTACCTGCTGCAGCTGACATGCTTCTTTATAAATACTCAAAGTGTGTAGCAATATTATTCGTAGGTTAGTCGCGATGCTTATCAACACAATTTTACAAGTTTTGTAGGCTACTAGACGTAAGTTTGACATGATGATACCATAGAAATCGATTGTCGATTTTGATTGCTCAAACTCGAGAGGTTATTTAAGGCTAGCAAGGAAAGGAAGATAGGAAAGAAAGGAAATATGATGAGGTGTCTTAGCTACTGCTAAATGCCGGAGGGGATGCGAGAGTGCTGATGTAGCCATGTTGTGTACCCTTTAGCGAAGGTGCGACTCTAAGCTACCACGCGCTTGCCCCACTATTAGCGTGTGACAAGCGAGCCGCTAAAGCCTCTTTGACAGCTGCCGAATGTCAGTTCGACAATGCTCCTTTTGAATTTTGTATTCTCCCTCAACTAGATATATATATTTTTTTGTCGCCAAAATTTCTCATTAAATAACAAACATGGCTCGGTGGTGTAGTTGGTTATCACGTCAGTCTAACAAGAATGAAGCTTGTGATCACTGAAGGTCCCGAGTTCAAACCTCGGCTGAGTCATCTTTTTGCCTGTGTTTTCCAAAGTCTTTGAAGGGTGATACTCTCCCTAAACTTTTTTTTCTTTGCGCCAGAATGTCATAACCTTGGGGTGTATATCCTTCAAAAACCATCTTGTAAATATGGTCACCCCTCAGAGACTCGTTCCCCTAACTATTCCACTTTTAGAAGCCGGCAAGTCTACAAAGGCGATTGCATTTCGTAAGTACTAGATTTCTGCTCATGTTAGAGGAAAAACAACGTAGTAATGAAAAAAAGGCAATGCGCGCTTCAAGGTTTTGTTAGCCTTTTTATTCTAAGATATGGAGTCCCGGCAGACTTTCCTCACTCTCCAAGTACAACCCCCTTCGTTCATAACCTTGACTTCCGTCTTTGAAGGTATTCTTTTTACTTTGGCACAACCCGTGGATTAAAGCTGTGGGAGAGATGTCAATGACAAGCCTGGAACTCAGCTCACATAATCCTGAATGCTACCAGCATGAGAGCATGTATCCAGACGTTATCGCAAAGGAGCTTTGAGAGAGGACATAGGATGTAGTAGAAAAGAACTCCCTAGCAAACCTGCGGTAGGGATTTATTCGGGATAACTATGAAAAAGTTAGCTTAATCCCAAAGCAATCTCTAATACATCGTATCAAAAGCCTAACCTCATGTATCACATCGAAAAAGACCCTCAACGCACCTCAAAGGCTCGCTGGGGTAGCATTGCGACAATAGAAAACTCTGTTAAATTACTGTCTTCAAGAGTCGAAAAGCCGAATTCTACAAAACTTATCCAAGGGCGGGAACTGTATAGAATTAACCACATGTGCAAAAGCAAATTCAGCAACATGAACATGGCATGGATTCGAGCTTGCACATATAGTTGGTGCCTCGCAGGGTGTTGATAATTGAGAGAAGAAGAGACTGTTAATCAACGGTGGAAGAAAGCTACCATACTCCCATGCCATCTCAAAGGGCCTCGTCTGGTTCCCGACACATATAGACCCCTTGTGTGTAACTTCTAGCTGTACGCTCATCGAACGACTTTCGTGCCGAGTGTTGAGGCTAGTGAACAATGGCTATACGTCCCTCCGGCGGAGAGATAAGGATTGTCCATCTTTAAACTATTTCCTAATCCTCACGACTAGTCGCATACTACACAAATGAGCCCGTTGCTGGATGTCGTTGGAGCTTCTACCGGTAATATGAGGTCGTGTACATGAAATGAAGAATTATAGCTTGTTTCGGACAGGACGCAGCCCCGGTGGAGAAAAGGGGTCGGACAAATCAAGTTCAACGTCTGACGGTGGGCCAGAAGAGCATCTTATGTGTCTAGAATTCTGATTGTGCATTGTGGGTTAAGACTTTTCAAGCTTCGAAGCAATGTGTGGAGTGGAGTGCCTTGCCTAAACCAGCTAGCGCTGCCCCAATCCAGGCCCCACCAACGAATAGATCCTGCACTTCATCATCCCCCGCCGTACATCTCCCAACGACAATATCAACATCCGAAAAAGGTCATGCCGACGCGACGTAAAAATGCACCAGTCGTTCCGATTCTAGATGTCCTACCATCTCTAGGGATCCCTGAGCCGAAGAAGCCGAAGATTAATGTTGTTCCATTGGCTCGCGTACATGCTGCTTCCTATCATTGGCCACTTCTTTTGAACGATGATGAAGCTTGTAGAAGCTTGCTGAAATGGTTTGAGGACGTTCAAGAAGAGAGACAGATGCCGTGGCGGAAGAAGTGGATTGATTATGAGGGGTTGGAAGGGGGTGAAGGGAAGAAAGCATTGGCTAGGCGAGCATATGAGGTCTGGGTTTCTGAGATCAGTGAGTGGAATTTCTTTCCTAATTCTTTCCAGTTTTCCTGGAATGGTCTGTCCTATCTCAATTTATGCGCAAAGAGCGAGTCAGGTTGGTGGAATGCCCATCTTCTGATTTCATCGTGTTCGGTGATGGCGGAAGACGGACTACCGTGCCCTAATCAATTCCTCGCCGAACGAACTAGATCATGAGTCGCAGAAATCAACCGAATTCGGATAGAAGACCACTGCGAGACTGCGCTTTATCTCTAGCCTCCATCTTACTTACACCAAACAATTAGTGCTTCAGCAAACGAGAGTCTCCACCGTGATCCCATATTTCAACAAATGGATCTCGAAATGGCCCACCATTCAGGACCTCGCCATAGCCGATCATGACGAGGTGCTATCCGCCTGGAAGGGGCTGGGATACTACTCCCGCGCTACGCGTCTGCACCAAGGGGCTCGAGCTATGGTCGAGAGAAATGGCGGAGCATGCCCAATCCCAAGCGGGGCTGAGCAGCTTCAGCAATTCCCAGGAATTGGCAAGTATACAGCAGGCGCGATATCAAGCATCGCTTTTGGTGAAGCCGAACCGGTCCTAGATGGAAACCTAGTCAGAGTTCTCAGTCGTCAGCTTGGTCTCTATGTCGATCGTGAGGACAAGAAATCGAACGACTTCCTTTGGAGAGTAGCTGATCGTCTGGTTAAGAATGCTTCTGGCTTTCCGAAGATCAAGAGAAGCATGGTCCCAGGTCAATGGAATCAAGCACTTATGGAACTTGGATCGACTCTCTGCACACCTAGACCGCGTTGCGACCAATGCCCGATTCGTCGTACGTGTCAAGCATACGCTGAGGCAAAAAAATTACTACAGGAAGAGAGAGTCACTTCCAATGTACCCGACATTGAAGATGCATGCTCGTACTGCGAGCAACTCAATCCCGAAGATGTCGACCTGCCCGATAATGATCCCATCAACAATGAGGCACGGACTGCCAAGAAGAGAAAGCGAGAAGTGAAGACTGTCAGGACAATGTCGCATTATTTTGCCACAGGGATGCCTCGTGGGCCTCGCCTCGGCCCATCAGCTAGTACGGACGGCAGAGAGAATGAGATTGCTGTCTTGGGGACCAATGGATCCAGCAAACGCAAAACACCTATCTCTCAAACTCAGTCCACATCTCTGTCCGCCTACTGTTCTCTATTCCCGAAAAAAGTTGCCAAGAAGAGGGTTGCAGAAGAGGAATGTGTTGTTTGCATTGTTGAGTTACGACTTGATGGCGGCCGCAGCAAGTGGCTGATCGAACAGCGCCCAGCCAAAGGTAAGCATTATGCCGCATCCTGTTCTCGAGTATACTTACCCAATCTACAAACAGGATTACTTGCATCGTTGTGGCAATTCCCCCAATGTACGCTTCCGAAGCAACACATGCCTTCGATCCGGAAGGCTTCGGCTAAGCAGTTCGTAGCAGGCCTCAACCCTGGAAATGAGGACTTCTCTGCCCGATATTTGTGCGAACTCGGCTCATTGACACATGTATTCAGTCATCTCAAACTCACCATGCATGTCCATTCGTTCAAAGTCGACGCAGATACGAGCCTACGCCCTGAACCTGCATTGAGCGGACCGCTAGCACGGAAATGGGTCGATACCGAGGCCATGGACCAAGAAACGCTATCAACAGGCATGCGACGGTGTTGGGCCCTTATCCGCGACTCACTCTCCCACTCCACAACACCATAGGCGCGGTACATACTCGTCCCACGCGAACGACGTAAGCGCCCCTCTTATCTCCCGCCAAGTCCTCATTTAGCTTGGCTTCCCGCCCCGCCGTCTTGGCAAAGACCCACTCCACCCCAGGATTCGGGGAGCTGAGAGATAACGCTCTTGGATGTCCTCATGGCTATGCCTGATTTGTCGAAAAACTCCAGAGGTGTAACCCGGCTGTAAGGTGGCTAGGCTGCTTCGGATAGGTGCACAGTGGCCTGGCCAGGGGAGGATGATACGGTGTGGGAACGCGAGTATTACCAGGCATGAGTTACACCAAGGGAGATATAAGCTTGAGGCCCTGCCATGTGGGTTTTTTTGCGGGAACGCATCGCGCGTCTATCAGAGTCGTTTCACACGTGTTAACACGTGCAATTTGATCAACATGGCGGAAGCACCAGTACCAACTCCAATCACAGAATGGCCCGACTACAATGTGAACCCGAAAGGCGGCGACGTGTGGACACAGGATTTAAATTCTCTATACGATAAAGGCGATCTTTGCTGGCTGCTAGTCAGCTCATGTTTATGCTGGTAAGTCGCACGCAGGACTGGTCGTACCATTTAATTGACAAAATGTAGGCAAATTACTCCTGCCATCGGCTTCCTCTATGCTGGAATGCATAGGCGGAAGGCTGCATTGACCATGATATTCCAGTCGCTCTTCTGCGCCTGCGCTTGTGGTATTCAATTCTGGATTTATGGGTATGCGCCTGGTTCTGCTTTTTTTTATTGATCTTGTATCCTAGCACTCACCCAGAACAATTCAACTGTTCTGCCTACCATTCTCCAAAATTTGCAAGATACTCTATATCTCTACGGCTGCCAAAATGTAGTTTCCAAGCTAATGTGGGTCCAGATACTCCCTTTACCAATCCCACACAACGGGTCCCTTCCTCGGCGACCTCTCCCTCGCTGGCCTCCATAATGTCCTTGGTTATCCCTCCCTCGCAAACAGCGACATCCCTGACATTCTCTACGCCTGCTTCGGCTTCACCTTTGTAACTGCGACGGCCATGATTTTGGCGGGTGCAATGCTTGAGCGTGGCCGTCTTTTCCCTTCCATGCTCTTCATCCTCTGCTGGACCACCTTTGTCTACTACGTCCTCGCATATTTTGAATGGAATCCATCAGGCTGGCTCTACAATCTCGGGGTCCTGGATTTCGCGGGCTCAGGACCGGTGCATATTGCAAGTGGATTTTCGGCGCTAGCATGGAGTCTTATGCTCGGTAGGCGCAAAGACCCGCATGGCGAGAGCGTTCATCATAAAATTCCTCATTTTCGACCTCACAATCCGTTCCTGGTCGGCCTGGGCACGATTTTGATTTGGTTCGGATGGTATGCGTTTAACGGCGCCTCGTCGGCCAATATCTCGCTCCGTAGTATTTACATCGTTGTGAATACGAATCTTGCGGCATGCGGCGGTGGCATGGCATGGGTTCTCCTA